AGAGCTCACAATCATCGTTTGATTTTTGATATATGTGCAGAAGGTTTACGACCACCAATATTACCTGAAATGCCTGAAGATTATGCGCAAATGATGCAGAGGTGTTGGGATGTGGATCCATCAAAAAGACCAACTAGTCTAGAGCTTTTCCAATTTGCTATTAATAAAAACAACGAAATTATTAAAAATAAAAGCTTGAAAAATAATAATAGTAGCAATAGTTTAATAAAAGGATTATTCGAATTTTTTAAAATCAAAAAACATGATAATAGTAATAATACTAGTAGTAGTAGTGGTAGTAATGTTTCGCAACAAATACACGAATCACATCCAGGTGCATATCATACAAGTAGAATCTTAGATGATGAGATTGCTAAATCAAAAAGCTTAAAAATTTATACAAGTAATGATAGTTCATTGGATAGTCTTGATTTTAACTCTTTTCTCTTAAATGCTGAAGGTAAATAAAAACTCGTTATTAATTAATTAATTGGAACTTACTATCCATTAATTATTACTGACAATATTTTTATTTACATCTGATTTCATTAGATTCTGATAATTAAAAGAAAGAATCGATGGATGATTAATTTAATCTCCTAAATTATTCGTTATAATTGTTTGTCTTTTTATTTTATCCATATGCGACAATATTTTTATTTACATTTAATTTCATTAGATTCTGATAGTATCGATGGATGATTAATTTAATCTCCTAAATTATTCGTTATAATTATTTGTCTTTTTATTTTATCCATATGCGCTGATTTTGTATCAAATATGAAATAGTAAAATAGTTTTTTTAGCGGAGCAAATAAATTTTTGGGGGTTAATTATAATTTCTATTGACCAGTTTACACATCATGTTTAACGTGTTTAACGTCGAGACACAATAAGATATAAGGTTTGAGGTCCAAAAAAAACAAATCAGCTGATGTGTATTGAGTTTGAGTTCTTCCAAGCCATAACAATAATAAATATTATTATTAATGTTAATATTATTATGATTTTGAACACAGTTCCGCCGTATATCCTTACAAAACAAAAGCTTAATCGCGGTTAAAATTAAATCAACCGCAATTAAGCTCCCGTAGTAGTAAAAAGTATATTAATATTAAATACAAATTAATAAAATAATTCGTTTGTATGTTTATGAGAAAGTAAATATGATTTCTATTTCTTTAAATATTCTCTCAGTGCCCAAAATTATTAATTACAATTACAATTACTATCTCGCGCGATCTTTCCCTGTTGTTTAAATTTGTTTCGGAATTTTGTTGCCTTGGAAAAACGTTCTCCACCTACTATATTGTTTTTAATTTGTTCTTACCTTGAGCAATGTACGAAGGTAAGCGATGAGAACCTCCCATATTTACTTCACGAGTATTTCGTAAGAAAAAAAAAAGGATTTTATTATTATTCATATTCATCAAAATTTCTATCAATATGCATGTCTCTTGAAATATTCTTTTTTCTCAATTCTAATGGTCACTGTCATTGTCACTGATGGATTTTTTTATCCAGAGTTTTTTACCATTCCTCAAGAGTATAGTTTCGGGCTCTCTTACATATGATCCAATCGATTCAATGGTTTCTCTCAACCGATATCTAAATAACGACGATGACAAAGGGTTGTATATCTCAGCAAATATTGAAAGATAGGTGAAGGTGGGTTTACGCGATTGCAAAGCATAATTAAATAAGTTTAGATTCATTTGAAAATAAAAAATTATATTGCTGATTTTTTGTCTTTTTTTTAAAAACCTTCTCACACTTGAAAACTTTGACTGAATTTTTTAATAATTATTCTAACGCAAAAATATACTCAAAATTATATACTATATTTTCTAGTAGTGATATTAGCCGGCCAAGGAATTTTTAAATGGCTTAGCCTCCTAAAAAAATTTTCTCTTGACGTTCATTTTTACGTCTAGACATTTAGTTGAGATGGGGTCCACTTACATTACTTAGAATGACAAAAAATATACATTTACTCAAAAAGCAAAATACAATTCATCATAGCAGGATAAAAGCCAGAGTTTCTATTTTCTTATTTTAATTCGAATTATTATTATTCATTTTATTGAACTATTCGTTTTATTCAATATCAAACTATTCGAATTATTCGTTCTATTCAAATTACATATGTAGTATTTAGAAATTCCAAATTTGGCCGGGAAATAATAATTTTGACCGATCACGTGAGATTGCTTATTATTGGTAGATATCAATAGCCAATGATTGGACTTTTTATCTATGCTACGCCCCATATGTTATTAAGGTGACACCAGCATAGTGGAAGTTGGTTGTTACACGAATTTTTATACAGAACTCATTGCTCCTGAAACTTCACCAGTATATAGTGAATTGGAGATCAAGTTCAGATCCAATTCAAATCCAGTTTATCACTTACTTTTTTATTGCCAGAATATTTGCCGTGTATTGTAAAGCTACGTTGCACAATATAAAAATTAGTGTAACATTTCAAATTTCCACTATGCTGGTGACACCAACATGACAAAAATCTCATGAATTTTTAGATATTATCAGTTACCTTAAATTATAAAATATAATAAATAGCTGATTATACAACAATGGCTAATAATAATCATGTAAAAGGAACTGATAAAGTTTTACAAAAGCTTAAAGAGTCAGTTGATAATGCCAATTATTATGAAGCTCATCAAATGTATCGTACTGTATGTAGACGGTAAGTAAACGAATAAAAAATTTTCAAGAAACCAATATTTAAATTAATATTATTTCAAACACATGTACGTACATACACGAATATATACGCATATTATATAGTTATATTAAACAGAAAAAGTACAGTAATGCAGTAGAACTTTTATTTTCTGGAGCTCAAACATTACTTAAACATCAACAAGGTGGCAGTGGAACTGATTTAGCATTGTATATGATTGAAGCTTACATTGAAGAACAATTACCTGTAACTGATGAATCGAGATGTATGTTATACCATTTTGTAAAATAATCATTATTCGGTAAAAAAAAAAATAAAAAAATGATAATTATTTATATTTTTTCTATAATGGAAACAAAATTGCAATGACAATAATAATAACAATAATAATATAATAAAGCTCGAATTATTCAATTATTGGAATTATTTCCACCTAATGAAATTGGTCGTAAAAAATTTATCGATGCAGCAGTTAGGTGAAAAAAATCAATTCATTCATTTGTATATATCTTTTATTGTAATATATAATATTGAGTTATATTTATTTATAGTTGGTCTGTTAAATTTGGCGAAAGTCGAGCAGGCGATCCTGAATTACACCATTATGTTGGTGAATTATTTTGGAAAGGTATCATTATTACTATTAATACTATTATGATTACTATTATTAAGATATACTAATTGCGATATTAATAATAATAAAATAATAATATTGATTGATTCTTTTCTTTTTTAGATAAGAATTATTCAGAAGCTGAACCTCATTTTTTGGCTGGCACATCTGAAAGTAGTAAATCATATGGTAAAATGTTAGCAGAATGGTCTGAAAAAGATCAATTTGACAAATCAGGACTATATATAGCACGTGCAGTACTTCAGTAAGTTTTTTATTACATATATATGTTTTTATTTATAAATGTAATATATATACATATATATATATATTTAAACTTAAACTTATTATTCATTATAGATATTTATGTTTAAGAAGTATCAAAGATGCAAAAATTTCTTTTGACACATTTATTTCTTCCAAACAGCAACAACAGTCAAATGATATAAAAACAGGAGTTGCCCAATATAGACCAACAATAACGGGTGATCCTATTGAAATTCCAATTTATTCACTACCATTATTAAATTTTCTACAACTATTAACTTTGACGGTTCAAAGAGATGCGGCAGATCTTTTTATTTCTTTAAGAAATAAATATAAGAGCGTTTTATCGATCGATCAATCCGACAGTGTAAGTTTATTGAGAGTGTGCGTGGGAGAAATTATTTTAATATTATATTTTATTTTATTTTAATATTTATTGTTATCACTACATATTTACATTTGCACATTTATTACGTAGCTTTTAAACAAAATTGGCGATGTATTCTTTAATATAAAACCACAAAGACCACAACAACTCAATGTCTTTCAAGATCTTATGAGTAGCTTATTTCAAGGACCAATGATGGGTGGTGGCGGTGGTGGTGGTGGTGGTGGTGGTAGAAGATTTGGCGGAAGCTCATCGTCAGCATCACAGTCAAATTCACATTCAAGAATTAATTCATCAAGTGAATTGGATTAAATAAATAAATAAATATATAAACAAAATATAAGTTAGAAAATTATTATGATTCTAATATTTTTATTAAAAACGAATATTTTTTTTTACAACTTAATTTTTATTTAATTATTTATAATAAATAAACGCTATTCATTTTTTCTAATTGATATATAACCAACACTATTAATTAAATTTTGAATTGATTTATCAATATCATCTTCTCCATCGTCATCATTAATTTTCTTATCACCACCAATTTTTATTATTCTTTTTCTTCCAACCATTGCATAATTTTTTGTGCTTGGTATTCTTAACCAATCATATTCTAACGTAAATCCACATTGTTCAATAATTTCTTTAATATATTCTTGATAAGCTTTATATTTACCATTAGTGATTTTTTTATTGTTAAAAGTATATTTGAAGCCTGATAAAGAATAAAAACAACAAGGAATCACCATAAATCTAGTATATGGAAAGTGAAAAAAGGTAATTTGATTAAAGAAAATAACAATTAAATTATATAATAAATAAATTGCGTGTGAATTTACGAAAATTACTTTGAATTTTTTGATGATTTTGCAGAAATGATTGGAATCCTGATCAATATTGGTAATAATAACAATAACAATAATAATAAATAAATAAACCAGTCAGTCAATCATTCATTCAAATAATAATTTTAATATTAAATATCAAATTTTTACCAAGGCACAAGTTCATCTGCATGATTTCCAATAATCCAATCATGATTTGGAAATGTTATAATATTTGGTTGTAATGTTTGAACTGTAAAATATTATTAATTAATGTAATATAATCAACATAACCGATAAGGAACGCCAATAATAATTATAATAATTATAATAATCATCATTTACCACTGACACAATCTTTTTACCATGTAATTTTGCTCCTTTGGATATAAATAAATCCCAAATTTTTCTTTTTCTTAAATCAATTCCAATTCCATCATATCCTTCACTTGTTAGAATATAAGTTAATAATCCATTACCACATCCTAAGTCAACAAATGTTTGTAATTTTGCTTTTTGTTGCTGTTGCTTTCGTTGACCATCATCGTTATTGTCAGCATTATCATTATTGTTAATATTACAATTATTATCAACACTATTGTTTTTGTTATTTTCAATATTATAGTTATTATCAACATTATTATTATTGAATTGGTTTCTTTCATCTTCCCATAATGATATCAGCCAACATGCAATAGCAATATCTTCAAATATAAATTTAACTGGATCAGTTTTTTCAATCCAATTTCTAAATTAATTGATTAAAAGTGTTAACTTAATTATCTACAAATATTTTATAAATAAAATTAAAAAATTGCCTGATTAATTCATTTGAATATTTTAACTTCAATCTTTGGTAATTCTTTATATATGATTCTTTTGATACTAAAATATCATGAATTACTCTTTTCTCGTAACCTTCGAAAGTATTTTTACACCATTTAAATAATTTTTTAAATAACAGTTTAAAATTATGTTTCTATTTATATAAAAAATTAATTATTAATAATAATTAGATTGATTGATTAATATCCTTTTTTGTTTTTTGTTTACCATTTTATCACTAAAATCAATACTATTTATTAATTCTTTTTTTTCAATTGGAATGATTTCAATATATAAAAAAGGTTGAATCATATCATCATCATCATCACCGTCATTTCTTCTTTCTTCTTTATAAATAAAACTAAAACATTTAACCTATAAATAAAAAATCAATTGATTATTATTTTTGTCAGTGAATTGATTGATTGATTAATTGATTGATTGATTGATTTACTGACTGATTACCTTTGGATAATAAAATGGTAGATTATTATTATTATTATCATCATTATCATTTGATGATATTGGTGTATAAATCACACGGCTTTCTAAATAGATACATACACACATGTATATTATTTATCTGTGCTATAACTAATCAATTAATAATTTAATGGACAAAAACCTGATAATTTATTATCATAAAAATATTCAATTATCTCTTCTATTTCTTCATCTTTATTTTTTCTTTTTGGAATCAATTTCCTTTTTATTTTTCTAAACACTAAAATCCCATCATCTTCATTATTGTTATTATCATGATTATCATGATTGTGATAATAATGTTCTTCGATTTTCTCTCCCACTTCATCGCCATCTACCACTTTATCATCAATAATTTCAACACGTTCAATTGGTGGAATTATCAAATGAATTTCTTTTGTCCATCGTTCCTTTTAATTTTATATATATTTATTTATTATTATAATTATTGTTGTTATTATTTATTTCACTCTAAAATTTCTTTTATCCTTACTATAACTTTCCAAAAGATTTCTTTAGTAAAAAAAACTCTAGTTTCTGCAATTTTATACCAACGTTCTCCATTCCAATTACGTTTTGGTATTATTTGATTAGCAACATCAAAAAAATATTTTGGCTCAAAAATATTATTGTTGTTGTCGTCGTTGTTGTTATTACTGTTGCCGTTCTTACTAAATGACATTAGTTTTTTTTTTTTTGTAAATTAGAGATGATCGTTGACGAAAAAAAATATGTGCCATCGCAGATATCTTCATTGTAATAAATTAAATTTTCCGTATTTTATGAGTTTTGCTTATTGGTATTTGGATATTGATATGCTAGATGCCCAAATACGTGAAACACCCATTATAAAGATCCATCGTAAGCCAAGGACTGCTTTTAGTTAATAAAAAAACTCCCAAAAGAAAATTTTCCGCTGACACTGGACAATTTATCTTACGCATACATACACATTAGTTAGTTGATCAAAAGTTTAGTTGAAACGGTAACAAAGAGTTTTGTGGTAAATAATCATTACAGAGGATTTATTGTTGTTGCCAAGATCTATCATCTTAGTCTTCGTAAAATATACTTGTTTAGTATTCAAGATGAACTATGTTCTTGATGAAGATAAAAGTCCTAACGGTACACCCAGCATTGTTTTTGACGGGATTTAAGAAGTTGAATAAACGGTGAACGTGATAACGCTGGTGGACAAAATAAAAATTATGTAACTGATAATTTGTGGTTATTATGGATTATTATGAAAGTATTGAATTAAATGTAATGGTGATTGGGCTGATCAAGTGTATATTGTGTGAATCATGTTTAAGGCCCCGAACGATTCGAACCACCTGATATTGATTCGAATCATTACATACTATCTCTAATACATTACGTATAAATTCACGTTCTTAAAATTCTGGTCCAATATGAAAATCGTTAAATCGCGATTTTTAAATGGAATTTTCTCATGTGTCCCATGGATTCGTTGATATTTTTAAAATTTAAATTTAAAAATCTGGATTTATTAATATTTTGATAGTTTGGAAAATTAAATACTAAGAATTTTGACATTTCCTTTTTTGGAATTTCCTTGTAAAAGTTCAAGAGATTGCCAATGGGTCTTTTCATGAACAAATTATCTGCCTATTCTTTTGGATCTCAATATTTTTATAATGACACTCGCTCATTTATCAGAGATGAATGAATTCAAAGTACTCTTTGTGATGTGAAACGAGAAGTAAAGCTCTGAACCGTAATCATGGTTTATAAACCGAGTTATTGATATATGTCTCATGAGCGTGAGTTGTAAATTTTAAAAATAAAAAAAATAAAAAAAAGAATCCATTAATTTAAAGAATCAAAATTTTATATATTTTATTCTTGGGTAATAAAACAATCGTTTATAATCATTAGTCGTTTATATGCTTTGCAAACTTTGTATTAAATAATAAATCAAAAGGCTTTGTAAATTTTGAATTCGGATAATAACTACAGCTCGAATTCGATGTGTTTTTGCATGATTATACACGTCGTAAACATCAAAGCCAAAAATCGAAAAACCAATGCGATAACCAATATCACATACTAAATAAAAAGTTGTTCTTTTAAAAATGTATTACATAAGTATATATATATATATATATTAAAGTATTTTTATTTTACAATTTGATTTCCGGGTTTTGGATTAGCCTTTTAAAAACCGAACCGAACCGTTCGGAGCTTTAGCAAGAGGAACAACACTGGTAATGCTCGTCATTTTATCCGGGTAGGGGTCGGCATCGTCTAAAAATTCTTTAACCGGTTAACGATGCCAATCTCTAATCTGGTGGAGTTAAATCATTGATCCATTTCCCTCGATGGAAATTGCTTTATTAATTTAGTAAATAAATCTATTACATTATAATTGGTGAACAAACGTATGGCTTGTTCCCCAAAATAATCACTATTCCTTGACTTGGCCACTTACTATAGAATATTTTAAAATACTTATTAATATATATATTTTTTTCTCTTCAGCATACACTTGGAAGTTGAACTAAAACTATACACTTCTGCATCTTCCCTCTCCTCAGACTTTCTTGTCCCCAATCTTATGAATTGCAAGAATCAGTCTATTAAAAATGTTTATCAAGTGTTTAACGTACTTCGATGGAATAAAGTGTGTTTGTTTAGCAAACATTACAGGTACAATCATTTTAACCTCCATTTGCACCAACCTTCTTGAACATATTTACATTTGTTTGAATTATTGATTGACGATCTCAATCTGAATATCAGTTTTAGCAATCAACACAGCCTTTTCCTCCTCAATCCATGTTATCAATTGTTTTTGCCTAGTCGGTAGAGAGCGGAGATCTTAGAAATCGACTTTTAAAATATGATACAATACGCTTTAGGAAAAGTGCATTCAATTATATAGATTACTATTATTATTTTTTTATTTTCTCCAATCTAAAGGCATATATCAAGCATCTCAAGATAGATAGATTAGAGAAATGAAACAAAAAATTAAGTGGATCATTACTCCTGATCACCCATTAAATGTTTCTTTCGGGATAACAACTTTTATGCTAAAAAAAGCTTAGCGGTAAAGGAAACAGTGGCGTTTTTTGATATATACTATTATTTACCTTTTCCGGTATCTATTTTTATATTTATTATGTTTAGGAAATGATTTACAAAAATTAACCAAAAATGTATCAATGTCGCAATTATATGGTGACCCGAATTATAAGTGAGTCACAATAATTATCATTATTATTATTATACAGATTTTAATAATAATATTGAAAATGGAAGTCTGATTTTCTTTGCGTTTCATGATTTTCTATTCTCGATAGGGGAGTACATTTAAATATTTCACGTGTATAAAAAGTAGATGATGATGAAGATCAATTGATTCTAAAATTCCAAAATAGTTTGAAGTTTTCTCTCAAAAAAATTTTTTTTACAACATTAAAGCAATCTCACAATTTTTTAAAGTTATACAAGTCATATAATATTTTTTTTACATTTATTATTTTTTTTTTTTGAAAATAAACATTACCATACCTGTATACATATTAATATATATATATATATCAAAGCATTATGAAAGACCTGATAATAATGAAAGGCGAAAATACAATTATTAATTCCGTGAATTCTGATTCTAGCACAGCAATAGCGCATTATAATAAAGAAGAAGAAAATTTATTAAAGATAGATAAAAATACACCTGGTCAACTTCAATGTCACCATCATATTAACGAACAAAAAAATGGAGACGATGATTGTTATTTGGAATCAATAAACTTAATGTATAATAATACTATTCATAGTAAACATAATAATAATAATAATCACGATGATGATGAATGTTGCGATACTTTGATTAACAAAGATTGCGAAGAAAACGAAAAAGAGAAATTAGTTTGTTATATTTGTACAGAGAAAATTGAAATACATGCAATTTCACAATGTAATCATAGAATATGCCATATATGCTGTCTTAGGTTAAGATATTTATTTAAATCTTATAACTGTGCATATTGTAGAGTAAGTGAATTTAATTGATAAATTTTCTTTTGGCTGGGAGAGTTTTTTTGGATAGTGATGGGCGTATGAATATTTTGTTAATAATATAATTATAAATTATGTGCTACTATTATTATTAGACGTATCAAAATCAAGTTTATTTCACCAGAGATTCAAAGAAATCCTTTGATAATAATCTCAAGGATAATTCTTGCTGGCATGAATTATCAAAACTTGGAATATTTTGTGAAGATAAAACTATTTACGAAAAATCAATGGATTTAATTATACCAAAGTGTCCAATAGACGACTGTAAATTCCAATGTTATAGTAAAAATGAAGACGTTGACGATGATGAGGCGAATATGGAGCAGGAAAATCAGGATGGAGTATTTGAACTTTTGTATGAACATGTTAGAGAAATTCATAAATTAACATATTGGTAAGTTCAATAATTTGAAAGGTTTTTTTTTAATAAAATAATTTTATAAAGTTATATCTGCTTTCCTTTTTTTTTTTTTTTTTTTTCGCTAATTTGTATCATATTTATATATATATATAGTCCATTATGTGTATCAAATAGAAATTTTTTTATTAAAGAACATGAATTATATACAAACGATGGAATATTTCAACATTTTCATGGAGAAGGCTCAAAAAATAATAACAATTTTAAAGGACATCCGATGTGCGCTTCTTGTAATCTAATATTTTATGATTATTCAGGATTCAAAGAACATTATTTAACTAATCATAATAATAGTGATAATAATAATAATAATAATAATAATAGCAGTAGTAGGAGTAGAACGAATAGTAGTAGAACAACAACTTTTCAAGAATCTGAAGAAACAAGAAACTTTTATAATCATTATAACAATTACAATAATACCACTAATCATAATAATAGTAATAGTAATAATTCATCATATTTGTTATTTGTTATAATGAAGTTTGTCGCAAGTTTAGTTAGATTAATATTTTTTAGATTTTATTATAAAGAAATCATAACTTTTTTCAAATTACATTTATTATTAGCATTATATTTTATCAATAGTTATTGTTTTAGTCACGATGCCAATAACAATGACGATGGCGATGATGATAACATTGATAAAGACAAATTGATGATTTTATTTTTTGAAATCTTTAAATCAATTATTTGTCTTAGTTTCAAAATATCGTTAATCTATGGTTTTTGGTTAATGATTTGTTTTTTTGTAGAATATTTTTTAATTAGATTTTTTATTGTAATATTAACTTTCTATTTCCTCAAATTTCTTCATATAATTATTTTAAAAAAAAATCTTTTGTAAATATAACAAATAAACGACAAAAAAAAACTCTGCATGATATAATTTATTAATCAAGTTTTTTTTACAAAGTGATCGTGAAATGATTGATTTGACTTGTTATTAATCTAACAAACAAATAAACGATAACTCCTAATTCAATTATTAAATAATCAATTAACAATAAAATAATAAGATTATTATTATTTTCCTAAACTAAACTCCATTCTTGAATACATCATACTAAGTATAAATCCTCCTAAAAAGAAAGTAGATGCAGCAAATGGCTTCTCCAATAAATCTATTGTGCTATGTTGATACGAAACTTGGAATGATTTATGGTGTTCATTAATTAAATTATTTTTTTCTATTGTTATCATATATCTTCCTGATGTATCTAAATATGTTTTATGAATCGAATGGATCTCTTTATCCACAGAAAATGGCAAATCCATTTTAACATTCCTAGAAAACAATATATAACAAGTTAATATTTTTTTTGAGAAATTTTTTTTGGGGGAATGTAAACTTACCTTGCACCTTCGGGTAGAATGACTCTAACTTGAACTTGATCGTATGTTACATGAGGAAATAGATTAATAAAGGGTACGTTTAATATATATCTATCACTTTCTGAATTATACCTGACAAAATGATTGATTGGTAAATTGTATCCATGGTACCATGTATAATTCCATCCACCAAAAAGCGGATACCTTGGTCTAAGTTGTAACACTGTTTTGCCTAGTTCATGTTTCAAACTAGAAGTTGATACATTACCAATTTCATCTCTATAATAAATATCTTTGCTGGTGGCTGGTAAATCCACTTTTAAATCTCGAATTACAACTATTTCATTTAATTTATAAAGTGATTGTTGGAATTTATATCTTGAAAATTGTCCTTTTAATCTTTTTTTTTTTTTAATTAATTTAGTATAAACATAAACATATTATTATCATTGTTAATATTATGTAGATATTTCAAAAAAAACCCCCAATTTTTTATATATTTACTTTGCGCCATCGTTAATTATATCCAAATGTTCCTCAACTGCCAAGTTTCCTCCCCAATGACTTATTTCTAAATCACGTCTCAATTTCCTAACCGTTAATATTGCTGCTATCTGTTCATAATGAACTACCATTTTCTCATATGAGTTAGGTTCTTTATCTACATATAATCCATATGAAATCATATTTCCTAAACGAGTAACTGGGTGAGGTTTCTCCGTATGACTAATAATATTAAATGATGGCAGTCTTCATTTTTTTTTTTTTTTAGAAAAATATATTATTATATGAATTAATAATTCATTTTTTTCATATCTTCGCCCACCACAAAAATTTTTTTAGAATAAAAGAAATTCTCATACTTTATATTTGTTTTGGTATTTTCGGTAAAATATGCACTATTTCCATATACATTACCCTCGTATACCAAGTATTGTTTATCATTTTGATCAATTTCATACGGATAAGGTCTTAAAACATGAGTATATGCAAGCTTCACCTCAAATCTATATTTTCCTTTTGACTCGATGCGTTGATCAAAATATATTTTATAATATTGAATTCGACTAAAAAAATTTAAATTTATGAAAAGTATATGTCAAAATAAATAGGAGATGAGAAATATTTTCAAATGATAAAAAATTATCGGATCAATTAATCGATCAATGAATCAATTTACAAAACTTACTTTGCTAAATCAAATTCAGCTTTTTCTACATTTAATATTTTGGTTTTTTTCCCCTTCGCTTCAATATATGATAAATGATCATGCCACTTCTCGGCAATAGGAAAATAATATTCATCGATAGGCTCTTCATGTATATTTTCTACATTATACGATATACTTTCTCGAACAATAGGATCATGAAGCTCAACAGCTCGAATCAAATTAACATTCTTCCAATATTGTGGTACACTGAAACTTCTACTAAGCTTTTCTTCTCTTTCTTCTTTTACTACTTCTACCGAATTTACAAATAAAAACTCACTAGTTATTATTATTACTATTGAAAATATCCATATATTATAGAAAATTCTTTTCCACCACAACATATTTATAAAAAAATTTTTTTTTTGAAAGCAAAAATAATTTAAGAATACATTTACGTGTAACATATCTACAAGTTTATCCAATCATAACTGACCAGCATTCATTCATTATCTGAGATTGAATTGAGAAATAGAACAAATAGAACACACAAATAACAAATATTAATATATAATGTATCTGTTAAGGATGTATATAATTTAATAAATGCCAATTTATAATACATTTAATATCCTTAATATTGAATTATTATTTGATTTAAAAAAAAACTCTTATTTATGCTAATTAATTTTTTTTTTATAGCCATCAACTAATTCTCTGTCACTCTTTAATTCTCATTATGGCTACAGTTTATTCAATATTATAATATTTTCCCTCAAAAACTGACTGATCTGGAAAATCCATCTTGGGATCTACATAATATTTATAAGGTATATATATATACTGTATATCCCTTTTGTCATTTTGGTAATCAATCCAACTAGAAAACCAAACATTTCATTTTTAAATTTAATAAATTACCTATCCCTATTCCTGTTCTTGGGTCGTTTTAAATATAAATCTTGGCTGGCATATATTAGTAATATGCTGTTGAAGAAGTTCTTCATATACTTCTTTATTAAACCTGTTCTTATAAGAGTTGATTTATCATGAAAGAAATTTTATAAAATTTCATTAGTGAAATAGATTATCTAATATAATTTTCAACATGATAACATCTCCTTCCTCCACTCTGGAATATCTTTGTCCAATTTTTTATTTTGGCCTAAATATCAGTTTCAATCTAATCCCAAGCCATCCTTTTTCTATTGTAGTCATAAATAAATATAGACTCTTTAACATCATGAAATCTTAATAAGTTCTGGATTTTCATTAAGTTTGATAGTTTGAACATTTGACCGGACCATTCTTCTCAAACAGCAACAAAATCTATAAGACTCAAAGGATAATCTGGTAAATAATTTTCTCCCATAAATTGAACCAACTATGATTCACCATAAAGTATTGAAGATTCTTTGTCTTTTGGCCACTCATATTCTAACAACATTTTGACATTTAGCCATTCTTGTTGAAAGTTTCTCCTGATTTTTTAAATTTTTATTTGATTCTTTAACACATTGTCACCAGTTATGAGAAATAATAAAATAAATTGAGAGGGGGGTCAGATTTTGCTAGCCAATGGTTTAGAGTTCGATTTGACATGAGTTTATCAAGTCGAAACTTGTTCTCAAGCCAAAGCCTGTTATGATTATTTTCTTATTCAAGAAATAGTTATTTTTCAAATACATTAAATTCAGATATATATAAATTTCAGTTAATTAATGAATGTTATTAACATGCAAAAATGTTATTCACATATAAAAATGCTATTGGTATACAAGAATGTCTTTTATTAAACAACATTTAAATATTATTAACATACAAAAACCTTATTGGCATACAAAATACTATGACACGTTCGCACAGTGTAATTGTATTAATTATAATTAAAAGATGCAATTTGTGATCCTTTCTAAAGTACTGAAGTGATGAAGTTAGTTATATTATACAATATATTATTATCTTATATTTATTTTATTTTATTTTATCATACATGTTTACAATTCAGAAAAAAAAAGGAAAAATATTCAGCGACCTTTTTTTTCCGGATATTAAAATGTTACCATTGAGATATGGATGCAGACGCACGGGTGATATCAATAATTTTTTAGTTAAAAAAACTTTTACATTTTTGCTTATGAAAAATATAGTACCATCGAAAAATCGAACGAAAGTTGGAACGGACAAATAAAGAATGCAATAGGTATGTCAAAGAATTAGAGAGATTGAGCGAATTGGAGATGAAATTGAGAAAGAAGGAGTACGAAAATGAAGAGAAATGAAAGATTTGATTGAAGAAGAGGAAGAACAGAAGGAAAAGAGAGACAAGTGGGAAAGATTACAGGATGCATTGATTGTAATTAGTACCAAGGAAGCAAGCATTGTTTATGTTTGATATAATGTTTGTAACGTTGCTTTTTTCCTTTGCGTCAGGAAATTTTTTTGATGTAGGTTTGTGTATAACTTACATTTCACGTAAGAACGCTCGTAATTCTTGTGTAAGAATTATATAAGTTTACAAGCCGGCACAATTCTTACATAATTTAATATAGAAACTTACAAGCATTTGGTATTAGTTTTCCTGATAATGTTATGTATATGCTATCAATAGCCTGTTCTCAACTTTAGCACTTGGAATAATCGCTTCACAGAGTTCATTCACAGCAAAAGATCATTGCAGTCAGTCATATCAGGAAACATCTTACATCTGATTCAGATAATGATCTAATCAGATATGCAAAGAAACTTTCAGGATGCCTTTTGCGAGCTGGAGCTCTGAAATTTTTTAAAGTCACTGAAAAAGAGTTTACCATCACTCATCTTTGTGTAATTTGATAGACAGAGTTTCTTGAAGAAATCTTTAGCCTTTTGTAGAACATTCTTATAATGTAATTTTCCATCCAAACAGTCCCTAAATTCATTTTTCCTAATATCAATTCAAAAGAAAAGATTTACTTTGAAAAAGTTCATTTATTATATATATCTCAAAATATTTCGAAAGGTGACAATATTGCGCAGCGATATGAGCTCACTTTGCATCAACTTGAATGAAAAAATCGTGCAACATTCCATATTGAATTTTATGCTTTACAGGTCTTGGACTGAAAACTTTCGAGTAGTTGCAATTAGCATCTTTTATCTTGGAAGATCCTTCCTTACAAATACAAAGTTATATTTTCAAAAAAGCAGTCAGAAATCATGGATTTTCAGCATGTAGCCCTACAAAAAGAAAAACAAACTTTGAAGAGTAGGTATTTTGAATATAAAAATTATATAAAGTCGTTAAATAAGAATTTTATTTATAACAATCACTATTACTGCTTGAAAACAACAACTATAATTAATTTAATTGAAGTCGTTGGAGCATTATAGTTTAATAATTAAATTATAATTTATTATCATCATAATTATTTTATACCTATATTATATTATATAAAGGTTTATTGAAAGTGTAATAAGGATCTTCGAGTAATACAATCAGAATTGTTTTTTTATTTCATTCATTTATTCATTAATTTATTCATTCATTTATTAATTAATTATCCCAGATTTCCAGCATGGCGGCAATAGTAATAGAAAATAATGCAAGTACAAAAGTATGGATATATTTATTTACTGATTTTTCTTTTGTGATGATAATCGATACATAATAATAATAATGAAATTGATGTATTATTCTAAAAATCAAGAATTGGATGATGGTGGCATTAAATTAAAGTATAACATAATCATCAATCAATATCAAAATATTTTAGTTTTCACGCACAACATGACAATAATAAATTTTTTCTATTTTTGCAAATATTATAACCTTTTTTTTCTTGATTTTGATTAATTAAAAAACTCAAAAAAAAAAACAGAAAAGATTAAATTAAATGCAATCAATGCACCGATGATTATATTTAGTTGCATTTGTGGAGTAAAAAAATTTTCTTTTTTGAGATAAAAAAAACTCAATTCATTCTCATTTTCAAATTTTCTTATAATAATAAAAAATGGCGACAAGACAAGATAGAAGACAAGAAAAACATCCCTATAATAATACCAATAACAACAATGATAATAAATTACAAAACCTTCCATGGACCATTGGTAGTAGTGAAATAATAGAAGAAAGTAATACGACAACAGGTCCACTGTTATCAACAACAACAACAATACCTTACTCAAGACCTGTTTTAGAAGAACGTAAATTTTTTAGTACAACAATAGAAAATGTAATCGCTAATCTTACTCGACTAATGAAAGATAAAGATTTGGCCAGATTATTTGAAAATTGTTGGCCGAATACTTTAGGTAATAATTAGATTAAATGTTTAGTTGGTTTGGCTTTCATCCATCTATCCATCCATCCGTTCACCCGTTCATTCCGTTTACCTATTTATAAATAGATACGACAGTCGCTTGGACAAAATTTGATGGAAATTATCCGAAGACATTTATCATCACTGGAGATATACCGTACATATATATATAATCATATCTTATATTAATTTTATAAATATCTTTGAATTGTTTGTTTAATTCCTTTCTCGCGTGTTTATATAGAGCAATGTGGTTAAGAGATTCAACAAATCAAGTAATTTCTTATGTACCATTTGCAAATCAAGATAACGAGTTAAAACAATTGATCTTAGGATTGATCTATATGCAAGCTGAATTTATCGTCGAGGTCTATTATCATTATCACTGTTGTTATTATCATTATCATCTATTATATTATGTAGTCAGTTTTACTAACAAACACATACATGTATGTATGTATATAGGATCCATATTCTAATGCATTCAGAGCGCCAAACGAAACAAATATTCCATACGAAGAAAATCCCTGGTCAAAAACCGACAAAGTGATACCCAAACCGTCAAATTCCACTTGGGAGTCAAAATGGGAGGTTGATTCGTTGGCATCATTTTTGAAATTATCTTTTAATTATTGGCAGAGCACGAAGGATGAAAGATTTTTAAAAATGGAAATTTGGAAAAAAGCTGTCACGACGATTTTGGAAACATTTGAAATACAACGGTTGGGCACTTTTGAAGAGTTAAATAATGAACATTATTTATTTACTAGAGAAACTAGAACTTCTACTGAAACCTTGTTGTTGTATGGCAAAGGTAGGTACTTATTATGAGTATAAAAAAAATAAATAAAAATGTGTATTCTGAATTTAAGAATTTTGTTTTTCAGGGAATCCTGTAAGAAGAACAGGTAAAAACATTTTATAATATTTATGATGATGATGATGATGATGATAACAATAATATATCTAAATATTATTTTTCAATAATTTTTTTCAAGGACTAATAAAATCACAATTTAGACCCTCAGATGATAGTACAACATTCCCATTTCTAATTCCTTCAAATGCAATGGCATCAGTAGAATTAGAACATCTATCCAAGATGTTGAACAAAACCTATCCAGATCTAGCTAAGAAAGCATTCGAGATGGCAATTGATATCAGGACAGCAATTGTTTCATTGTCGATAGTTCATCATCAAAAATTTCGTGAAATATTTGTTTATGAAATTGATGGATACGGATCGACAAACTTGATGGACGACGCGAATATTCCTAGTCTGTTGAGTTTACCATATCTCGGATTTCTAGATAAAAATGACCAGATTTATCAAAATACCAGACAATTTATTTTAAGTGATTGGAATAAATACTATTTTGAAAATTTTCAAGAAGGTCAACAACAACAAAAATATAAAGGTGTTGGTAGTCCTCATTCAGGACTAGGTTATATATGGCCGATGAGTTTATGCGTTAAGGTGAACAAGTAATTCTAATAATAGTGTTGTTGTTGTTGTTGTTGTTGTTGTTGTTGTTGTTGTTAATTTTTATTAATTTACTAATAATATTAAATATTAGATTTTAACGTCTACAGATGATCAAGAAATTCTCGACACGTTGGAATATTTAAAGTCTTCATCATCCAACACAGGTCTTATACATGAATCATTTTGGTACAAGGATTCAAATAATTTTACAAGACCATGGTTTGCGTACGTACATCCATCCATCCATTTATTTATTTTGCTAGAATGCATCAAACAAATATTAATTTTTTTTTTGTTCCTCGTCCATGCTTTCTTCTTTTATTATTATTATATTTCATTCTTCCGTTAATTAATTATAATAGATGGGGAAATAGTCTATTCGGTGAGATGATATTACATCTTTCAAAGGAAAAGCCTCATTTACTATTTAGTAATGATCGTTCTGAATCGCCAATTTCCTCAATTCTTTTCAGCCCTTTTATACTGTATTTATTTGTATTTTTAATAGTTGTGATTATATTTTTAAAGAAATGTTCTTTCTGTTGTTGTTGTAGAAGAAAAAAAATAAGAAGTGAAGAATATCAGCAAGTCGATTAAAAGGGAACGGAACAGGAATGGGAATATTTTTTT